GAGTATGCATTCTGGCCAGAAAAATTATCTCTGTTCCTCTCCCTTAAGAAATGAGATACATTGTTGGCATTTAGAAGTTTTGTCCTAATAGAAAGGAGCCCTGGTTGCACAGTGATTAAGTGCTCGTCTGCTAACCAAAAGATTGGCGCCTTGAACTCACCAGCCACTTCACAGGAGAAAGATGTGGCAGTCTGCTTCTGTAAAGTTTACAAGCTTAGAAACCCTATGGGGCAGTTCTGACTTGTTCTGTAGTGCCTCTGTGAGTCAGAATTGACTTGACGGTAGTGGGTTTGGGTTTTGGTTTTGGGTTCTAATAGAAAGACCCCAGGCATGTGTAGCAATTAGTAAACGATGTTCTTTTTTTGAGGTTGCATCTGTCTTTATTTTTTCAATATTTTAATATAAGCCGAGTCCTGCAGCAGACAGCACTTCAAAATGCTCTGAAGAGCTCTGTTGCTTTTTCTGTGATTGATGATTAAATTGGGTCTTAGATCTTCTTGGACCTTTATAGAAAAGAAACCGAGCCTCGGATCACACAATTAGTTTCAGAGAGAACTGGATGGCAGGCATCCAGACCACTGACCTTTTCCTTAGAGTAGAACTGTTTAAGAATTATGTTGTACTGATGGAGTACTTTTTCTTTTCAGGGCTTCACAGTGGGGGAAAGGTGAGATGGTAGGGAATCTAGCCTATAATTGTGTGTGGCTTAAGTGACTTTCATTATTGGCTCAGTGGTGGCTTTTATAATCCTAATAGCTGCTTCCAGGGATGGATAATTCCCTAGTCATTATCGGTGACTTCATTTATCTCTTCCTCTCCAGCTAGTCCCATCATATTTGTCTTCTTCCAGTCACCTTTCCCCAAGCCATCCTTTGCTTGGTGGTGCCATCATTTGTTAAATCTTGATTGCAGGAGCCTCAAAATTCCATCTTCTGCAAGAAGTTCAAGCTAACAGCATAACTTCACCTCTCACATGATATTGCATTGACATTTTATTTTAAAAAGTGTTTTTTAAGATTTTAATTTCTAGAAATTTTGTACTTTCCCATAACATTTCCTTCAAAACTATTATCCTCAAATGCCCAAACCACTGCCATCTGAATTAAATTGGACACCAGAAGGGTATTCTAGGTTTTTAAGTAAGTTGCTGTCAAGTCAGTTCTGACTGATGGTCACCCTGTGTACGCCAGAGCACAGCTATGCTCTATAGGACTTTCTTTTCTTTCTTTTTTTTTAAACTTTATATTATGATTTGGGTGAGACTTTATAGAACAAATTGGTTTGCCATTCAACAGTGCATGCCCATTTTGTCATGACATTGATTGCAATCCCTACAGTTTAACAGCACTCTTCCTACTTCCTCCCTGTGGTTGCCATTTCCCTTTGTCCTTTTTTTCTTATCTATTCCTGGCTTCTGAGTTTTATCCCTGGGCTAATGCTGCTATTTTGATCTCTTATGGTTGGTTGTTCTAAGGCGTGCATACCTCCCTGGTGTAATTGTTCACCTCATAAGATTGTCTATTTTTTGACTGCAAGTTGAGCCCCACGAATGAGTTCAGTTCCTGGATTGATGGGTGACTAAGTGCTGTAGTTTTGGGAGTTCTACCCGTCTCAGTCGGCAGCTCTGGTAGATAGTGGCTAAGACACTTGCCTGCTAACCAGACGGCAAGTTCAAACCCACCAGCCACTCCTCGGAAGGAAGGTTGGGCAATCCTACTTCCGTAGTGATACTGCCTCGGAAACCCAAGGAGGGGTCGCTATGAGTCGGGGCTGACTTGACGGCACATAACAACAACAACAACAACCCGTCTCAGGCCACTAAGCCTGATCTTTTGTATTATTTTGAATTGTGTTCTGTACTTTTCTCCCACTCTATCCAGGATCTCTTATTGTGATCCCTTCCAGAATGGTTGGCAGTGGTAGCCAGACATCATCTAGTCCTCTGGTCATGGAAGCTGAGGTTCCCATGGTCCCCTGGTCCTTTGGACTGATTTCCACGCATCTTTGATTTTTTCTCTCTTCTTTCCTCTAGATGAGAAGAGACCAATAGTTGCACCTTAGATGGCCACTCACAGGCTTTTAAGATCCTGGTCACTACTCACCAAAGTAGGGTGTTGGACGATGTTATGCCAATTAAGCCTGCAACCATGGTCCCAAGCCCATAGTTTCAGTAATTCACTCCCTCCAGGTGTTTGCTTATGACTAGAAAGTTTTCATAACTTTGTCCCTGTTAGCCCTATTTTCCCTCTCTCTGGACATTTTTATATCACATACAAATATGTATGTAAAAATATCATCCGCCAAGCCTACATATATGACCACAGGTTTAGGCCCATTAGCCTACCCATGCTTGACCATTTAACCTGTCTACCTATGTATCCACTCACTGATTAATGTTTGTTATTACTGATAATGCAGTATTATATATGTAATAATGTTTACCTTTGTTGTCTGTAACTCTTGTGCACCTCCCTGTGTCTTCCTTTTCCTTAGTGATATTGTGTTGGTCACTTACTTGTATTTGCCTTTCCCTTCACCCGAATTAACAGGGTCTCTTACCTATTTAGTAATTCCGTACCCTTCCCCCCATCCCTGGTAACCATCAAAGAATGTTTTTTTCTGTGTGCAAACCTTTCCTTGTGTTTTTATAATAGTGGACTCATACGATATTTGTCCTTTTGTGATTGACTTATTTCACTGAGCATAATGCCCCACAACTTTGTCTACGTTATAGGGGTGTTTTGCAGATTCTTCATTATTCTTTAATGTTGCATGGTATTCCATTGTGTGTATGTACCATAGTTTGTTTATCCATTCATCTGTTGATAGGCATGTAGGTTACCTGTTTCCACCTCATTGGAAATATTTTAGACATTCAAAAGCAGGGTAGGGACATTGCTAGCTGCATGAGGGTATATATTATGAGAGATACAATGATTTAAGCTTTAAGATCAATGTAATGTCAAGTTGTCATTCATCCTTATTAATGTTCTAGTATACAATGTATATGAAGCCTTTTAAAGCTATATGCCTAGTTCATATGTTCATGCTATCACTGGGGGTAACGTGGGAGCCATAGTATTGAAGTTAATTGAACTGCTGGGCATGAGTAGTTCATTGTACCCATGAGGAAGCTCTGCCATTTGTGTGATGTCATTCCTCCATGTATGTTTGAAGATCAAAACCAAAAACTATACCCACTGCTATCAAGTCAATTCCATCTCATAGCACCTCTATATAGGGAGGGTTCCCAAGGCTGTACATCTTTATGGAAGCACACTGCCTCATCTTTCTTCCATGGAGCAGCTGGTGGGCTTGAACAGCTGACCTGTTGATTAGCAGCCCAATGCTTTAACCACAGCACCACCAGAGCTCCTTTATGTTTGATGATAGATTATTAAAATAAGAGAAACACTACTAATCTAGGTAAAGTGTAAACTTATTCTTTAGAGGAAAGAGCCATTCACTAATTCATTCATTTAATCATCAAATTTTAAACAGATACCTCTTATGTGTCAGGCACTGTTCTGAGAGTTAAGGCTATATTAGTGAACAAAACAGGGGGAAAGGGCCCTGTCCTTATGTTATATTACCAGTTCCAGTACCTTCCCAGCGTATATTATATGCCTATAAATATAAAAATACTTAAAAATATGTCTGTTTTATGTGACAAAAAGAACTGGCTTTTTGGACTTTTTTTTTTTTTTTTTCTGCTCTCTGCCATAATTTTGTTAAGAAACAATTAAGAGAAGTTTGTTATCTTCTAACAGTAATTTTCAGTGGGGTATTTCTGTTTTATCCCTCCACCTGGTTAATACAGGTAGCACTTAGGTAAAGGAAAGGAACCTCAGATTATCACCCGATTTGATAATAATCAAGAAGAAGACAGGTATTGAGAAATGTATTAAGATATTTGTGGCTTTTTTCATGAAAGGGATGTGATTGTGTTGTCCGTGCTAAAACTTCTTGACCCTTCCCTCTTCCTTTTCCTGTCTTACCATTTTATTGGGTACCTGACCATTTCCTCCTTCATGATTGGTTCTCTTTGTAAATACAAGTATCTTTAGCCTTTGTTCTAAGACAACTGGTTTCTAGTTTTAATGTGCATAAGAATCACCTGGGGCACTTGTAGAACAGATAGAATCCCTGAGCCTCATGCTGAGCAATTTATGGGTCTAACTAACTGAAGATTGGAAGTTTGAGTCCACCTAGAGTCACTTCCACTCCTCAGAAAGAAGATGGGGCAATCTACTTCCGATACTGCCTCAGAAACCCAAGGAGGGGTCGCTCTGAGTTGGGTCCGACTTGATGGCACATAACAACAACAACAACAACAGAGGCACTTCACAAGAGAGGCATGGTGATCTGCTTCTGAAAGAATCACCTTTGCCATGAATTGGAGTCAGCTTGACCGCAGCTGGTAGCTGGTATACTATGCTACATCTCTTTCTTAATTAATGCTTGCTGAAAGGCAACTGGTAGATGGGAACCCAAAATCTGCTTTTTCAAAAAAGAAGATTGAAGAAAGGCAGGGCATTTTAATGATGATGTAAATGAGTTACTTTAAGAAAGACTGTCTAAAATGTTCTAGAACTGTGAAATATTGTTTAACCATGTATACTGAAGGGTAAAAATTTAAATACTTGCAAATGAAGAAGCCAGCCAAAAAAAAAACCAAAAAAACAAAAACAATCTCACTGCTGTGGAGTTGGATCCGACTCATAGAGACCCCTTCTTGGGTTTCCAAGGCGGTATCACTATGGAAGTAGATTGCCCAACCTTCCTTCCGAGGAGTGACTGGTGGATTTGAACCGCCAGCCTTCTGGTTAGTAGTCAAATGCCTTAGGCACTATGCCACCAGAGCTCTCAAACAAGCCAGCAGCCATCAACAAATATCACAAAGTACCCAAGGAAACTGTGTTTACCAGATTGTGGGTATTTACCAGTGGGAGAAGATTGTCTGAGCTTTGCTAACTAGCTTTCTTGGGATTTCTTCTTAGGCAATGGTGGCTTGCTACCCAGGAAATGGAACAGGTTACGTTCGCCATGTAGACAACCCCAACGGTGACGGCCGCTGCATCACCTGCATCTACTATCTGAACAAGAATTGGGATGCCAAGGTATTTTGGAACAACAGGAGTAAAGTGTGAGGTTAGAAACTACAGGAAAAGTATTCCAGTGACTTATTGAGAGAGCTTTGAGTTGAGAATAGCCCTATCTTCCACTAACAAGTCTTTCCTATTTCTGGTTCACGTTTTTCGTTTCTTCCCCTATGGAATTAGTGCTAAAGTTGATGAGATGAAAATAATGGTTACGAAGTTAATTTAAGGGGCCCAGGTAGGGTGATTATGTATATGTGGGAAGGGTGGTTGATAAAGAGAGGGTAATTTAATATTACTTTAGGATTGGTGGTCCATTTTTTTTTCTAATCCAGAACTGATATGACTCTCAATGCAGAATGGGATATGCACTTTCCTCCCAGCAGCAGCACTAAGAGAAACCCACAAAAATAGAACTGTAGGATATGCAGCCATCCCCAAGAGACATTTCCCACACAGTCCTCTCTCTAAGGGTGACACGTCTTGTTCATGGCTGCTTGCCATGGTTTACTATGGGTTGAAAATGCCAAATGCTTTGAGGCTTATTTTTGTATTTTAGAACATAAAGATAGAGATATGTAGTCTGATTCCATGCTTGCAAATATCTGTCTGGACTTTGTATGCTTTCTGAAAGCTAAGAATGATTTGGGAATCTGGGAAGTCAGAGAACTTTTCAAGCTCATTTGGCTTTTGAACCATCTACATCTCCATTTCCTGTTAGTGAGGACAGACACTCGTTGTCATAAAACAATGATGTTTTATCTGGGCCAGAGATACTAAACCTGGGAAACCAGTGAATCAGTGAAAAATCTTGTCTCTTCTCCCTATTTGGTTACATGGCTGGAATATATCCCTTCTTGTTGTTGTTGTTATGTGCCGCCGAGTCAGCCCTGACTCATAGCAACCCCTCCTTGGGTTTCCGAGGCAGTATCACTACGGAAGTAGGATTGCCCAACCTTCCTTCCGAGGAGTGGCTGGTGGGTTTGAACTGCCAGCCGTCTGGTTAGCAGGCAAGTGTCTTAGCCACTATGCTACCAGAGCTCCCATATATCCCTTAGGTCTCCTTTAAAGTCTTGAGAGGTGCTGTTGTAGGCAAGAGCATAAAGTTATTAGGCTTATAACAATAAATTAAGATGATCAGGTAACATGAGGTCATTCAACAGATATTTAAGTGCTATGGGGGAAACATTCGTAGGTGAAGCCTGAATTCTGCCCTCAATGTGGTTTAAGTAGTAGGGCAGATTAGGTATGCAAGTAAAGAACTAATTCAAGGAAGAAAGTGACATATGTCATAAAAGGTACAGAGAAGGTGGTCTGAGAGGTTGGAAAAGAGAATATAGTTTCCAGTTAATGAGGTCAGGTGAGAAGCTTGTGGAATTCAGAACAAAGCAGTAAATTCCAATCAAAGAAGAAGTTATGTGTGATGATCGTCCTAGAAAGCTGTTAGTATTAGCCTGAAAGCATAGGAAATGGCTGGGTTTTTTTTTTTTGGTAGGTCAAAAACAGTCAAATATTGGCAATGCAATGTAGTTCAACCTAATAATACTCTATTTCATGTCCATAGGCTTCATGATTATGGGGGTAAGCAGGCTTTGTTTGGTATATGGTGGATAAGGATTATTCTACCCAAGTTTGCAGAACTTTTATTTCACAAGCCAGTGAAATAAAATTTGGTACAAAGTATGAGGTTGAAGTGAAAATTGGGGGCTAATATATGCTTGGAATGAAGTTTGGAAGATGGCATTTTTCTAGAAGAGGCTGAAATATCAGTAGAATGTGCTTGAGGCCAGTAAGTAATCCCCCTTCTTGTGGCCTTCAGCTGCACGGTGGGGTCCTGCGGATATTTCCAGAGGGAAAATCTTTCATAGCAGATGTGGAGCCCATTTTCGACAGACTCCTGTTCTTCTGGTCAGATCGTCGGAACCCACATGAAGTTCAGCCTTCCTACGCCACCAGGTAATAGCCAGGGTGGTGTTTATTTTTCCTAGAGGAGCTTGTGCAAACCCCAGTTCCCATGGATATGGGCGACTCACCACACCTCAAAGCTGACAGCAAATCTGTTTGGAGTTAAAAATTAAAGGGGAAGCTTTGGGTTCTTTGGTGTGCAAAAGAATGTCAATTTGAACTAATTACTAATAAATTGTTTTGTCTTAACTGAGTAGAATGGGCTCTATATTTCCCTGTGTGTGTTTCTCTTCTCCCCCTTTCTTTTTCCTTCTTTAATCTCATGTTGAACTACCTCTAAGGAATGTTGGCCATCACCTATGGTACATATCAGGAATTCTGGTTACTTTTGGAAGCAAGCAGAAAGAGAGACCTTGAACAGAAAGAGGAATTTGTTCTGACTTCTTTTCCTTTTTACCCTTTCAATGACTTGAAATAGATTTGGGATCACTAAATCCATGTTGCTACAATTGCATTTTATTTTTTTAATACTTTCTTTAGCACCTGCATGTGAAATTTTTCACAGTAACAGCCTAATTAAATGACACTACACACTTAGCAGTGCCCCCCTCCAGAAGTCATAGATCTGAACCTCAGACACAAAGTTGCATATTACATTCCATTCTAGAATTTGCTTTAGGTGAACAGGTTACCAGCTCTACTACCAAAGCCTGCTTGTGGCTTGTTTTATGGGGCCCAGTAACTGAATCCCATCATTTGTGGCAGAATTTCCTGGTTATTCCCTATTCCCACAGTGATTGACTTCAAAGGAAAAAATCAGGAAATGATGAGAAGCCCTTGAGAAAAATCAAATGCTCTAGAAATTCCAATAACTAATAATAATTATAAAATGAAACTCTTTGAAAACCCCATCATGAAATGGCTCCTATTACAGTCATCACATGTCATTCAATTGCTTCTTTGCTCTAATGTCCAAAACTGAACATAGAAAACCAAGAAGTTTACACACCTTGTGATTGAAGTTCAAAGCTTCACTCACATTTTACTTTCTCCTGTCCCCTCTCCATTATTTTGGGTCTCCCAGTCTTTAGTAGAATATCTCATTTCTAGACCTTTCTGTAGGAGACCTGGTGGCACCATAAAGAACTTGGCTGCCAATCAAAACATCACCAGTTCGAACCCACCAGGCACTCTGTAGGAGAGAGATGTGGCAGTCTGCTTCTGTAAAGGTTATATCCTTGGAGACCCCATAGGCTAGTTCTACTCTATCCCATAGGGTTGCTATGAGTTGGAATCAACTCATCTGCAGTGGGTTTAGCCTCTTGGAAGGAAAGTTGGGCAATCTACTTCTGTAGAGATACCGCCTCAGAAACCCAAGGAGGGGTCGCTATGAGTTGAATCGACTCAATGGCAGTGAGTTTGGTTTGGTTTTTTGGTGTATGTCATATACACTTGTTACAATATTGCTAAGTTGCCTGTCTCCCATGCTAGAGCCTGAGCTCTTTGAGGAAAAGGAAGATCTGTTCAGTGAATCTTTGAACTCCCAGTGCCCAGCAGTGCCCAGTGCTTGGCACATACCTGGAATTTTTTAAGTGTTTATTACATTCTAGTAGAACTGAAATCAGAGAAGTTTATTTTAAAATTGCATGTACTTCTAATAGTAGGGAAGCCTTTATATGTGGGCTTTACAAATAACTTTGATATAGGATTTATATTAAGTTATCTCTTTTTTCTTTTTTAATATTCTGAATCTCTTTCTGCTTATCTTTCACTAGATACGCTATGACTGTTTGGTACTTTGATGCCGAAGAAAGGGCCGAAGCCAAAAAGAAGTTCAGGAATTTAACTAGTATGTGTTCAGTATTTTCCTGTGACTTTTCACCAAATCACTCCATGACTTTTATTCAAGATTTATATATATATTCGAATATCCCCTGTTATTTCAGTTACTTCGTGCAGCTCTAAGAGAAATACCACAGGTGGATGGCTTTAACCAACAAGACTTTATTCTTTCACAGTTTTGGAAGCTTAAAGTCTGAGTTCAAAGTGCCAGGCTCTAGGGGCTGAGTGAAAGTGCCTTGACCTTAGGCTTCAGCTCTGCCTCTTGCTCCCAGCCCACTGAAGCTAGAGAGACTTTCTTCACTCAGGCAGCTGCTGGCTGCTGAGGCTGACAAACCCAAGGTCAACAAGTAAAAAAAAAAAGGCACAGTCCTAATTTTACCAAACCACTTGCAGGCCACTTATTCAAGTTAACATTAACAGTCCCAAGATCAGCAGACAACATGGCAAGCTGCTACCATGACTTGGTTGCATGCAGGGATTCAAGCATGCCCGAAATTACAGATCTTTCTCAACACTTCTCCATATGTACTGGAAACAGACCACATCCCTAAGGCAGCTACTCAACTGCTCTAGTAGATTCCACAATGGAGTTGATTAGCAATCTCATCATGGGGAATAACTACATCTAACTGCCAAGCCACTCAAAACCAGGCCCAGCCAAGTTGACACATAACCTTAACTACCACACCTGTCAATTAGTTATCAATAATGTCAATAATGACATCCTGATGGATTTAATTCTGAAACCCTTCTCTTAGCTCTGCTAGAAAAACCAAAAAAATACAAGGGACACATCCTGAGAATGCCCACTGATCATATAATGGTTTATAATGGATGGGAAATAGTTAACTTTTTAATAAATTTGTTAATGTTAACCAATCAAATATAGCATTAAATGATTTTGGCATATTGCAAAGAAAATATAATGGAACTCAGATAAAATGTTTTTTTTTTTTTTTTAAATTCTGTGGTTTTTCATTTATTATTATATTAGTGTGGGACTTTAACTTGCAATATAAAAATGGGGCTTGTGTGATAGAAACTGAATATAATTTAATACCATTCCTAACCCTCCAACCAGCATTTCCATAAGGCAGCGTGTCTCAAAATATGTCCCATTGAAGTGCTAGTCCTGGCAATTTGGTTTGTGAAAAGATAAATTCCCGCCCCCCACCCTGCCAAAAAAGGAAACGCTGCATACTGTATCCCTCTCTTGAAGAGTCACAATGCTCATTGGTGTGTCAAATCAAGGCTCTGAAAAAATCTTGCAGTTAAGAAGCGGATGTAGCCGTGACCCATTTGAAGTGAATACCTATCAAACACCCCGGCTAACACATTTTTGAAAACTCTGCTAGGAGGCACACTGCTCAACTTTGTTTTGTAAGATGTGAAGTATTTATTGGATGCTGTTTGTAACCTGGTGTCCTTGGGCAGTACAAACAGTTTATGACCTCAGCTGCTAACCAAAAGATCGGAGGTTTGAGTCCACACAGAGGTGCCTTGAAAGAAAGGCCTGGCAGTCTACTTCCCAAAAATCAGCCATTGACAGCCCTTGAGAGCACAGTCCTACGCTGTGCGCATGAGGTCTCCACGTGTTGGAAATGATTCAACAGCAACTGTTTTGTGTGTGTGACCTAAAACTCATTGATTCTGACCCCCAAACTCTTCTCTTTTCTGTGCCCAACCCAGGGAAAACTGAATCTACCCACACTGAAGACTGACCAGTGCTCTGAAATCCGCTGGCATCATTCATTTTAGCAACGGTGTCTAAGTTCTTTATAAGAGTTCAGATCCAAAGATAGCCTCTTCGATGACTCAGTGATGAGGACCTCTCCCCACTGCTGGAATGCCTTGCATCGTTCACTTCTCTGTCTTGCATGTGGTACTTTATGTCTTCTTGCCAAGACTGTATTCACCTTGAGACACTCTTTGCCAGATGAACTCTTTTGCTAACTCCAGAAATACCTGCAGACAACCTAGCTGGCCAGCGGTTTAACTGATACATTTTGTTGTTATTGGCTGTCAAAATGAGAGCATGGAAGCACAAGGGAGGGACTGTCTTACTTGCACTTTATGTACACTTCCTGATTTGAAAAGAAGGGGTTTGTAATGAAAACAAAAAGTAGGGACAGATGCCACAGAGAGGCATCAGTGAAGCCTTCACAGCAGGAAACAGAAATTTGTGTCATCTGAACAGTTTCCAGATGTTTTTAATCCAGGGCTGTTGGAGTTTCTGGAGAATTATCACACTCTACTTCCTTATAGATTTACCACCTTGGAAACCCAAAGGGGGTTGCTATGAGTCGGAATCGATTAAGTGGCAGTGAGGTTTTTTTTTTTTTTTTAAATGACATTATTACCTCTAAAAGGGCTGCTCTCAGAGTCATCAATTTAGAAGTGTCCTATGGAGTGGACACTCCTTTTTCGTCATCCTGAAATTTGCCTCTTACCAGTTTGTTGAAAATAGGGTTTTCTGATGTGAGATGAGAACACTGTTTCTCTGTTTTTACTTTCTTACCTAGGGAGCCTAATTCTCCAGGGGCTAAAACTGGACATGTTTCAATTGCTTTTTTGGAATGGAATTTGAATTTAAATCAAAGAAAAAAAAAATCTACTTGGTAGTTCAGAGCCAACTTCTGATAATGGTGTTGAAAGACCTTGCCTACTGATGATATATAATAATGCATCTTGAACAATTTGAGAGGAGAGATGGAGTTGGAAATGTGGGTGTTCCCTTTTTTCAGTTTTCATTTATAACGAGCTTGCCCTACTTCTTTAACAAAATAAGAAACAGGATACTGCTTTTTAAAAAGGAAATGGAAATAAACAAAAAAAATCCTGAAAAGCTGTTTGAGTTCTTCGAAATTGTCTGCTCCTAGCAGACCTTCAGCCGATGACTCTGTCAAGCAACTGGTTGGCACTGTGGCCAGAACCGTGGCGTACACTAGAACTGTGGAGGTCTATGACTGCTCTCTCTTGGCGGTTCTGCCACAGCAAGCCCAGGTTCCACTGTCTGCAACAACTCCTATTTCATGAAGTTACACATCCTGGTTTTCAGTTTCACTTTCGTGTTTTTAAATCCCTTTAGTTTCTTGCTTGAAAATCCCATGAACATTAAAGAGCCAGAAATATTTTTCTGTTGTCATTTTTGGATATGTAGACTTGCCAGCAAAGAAGTTTATTTTTCCCTTGTTTGGTTTTGGAAAATTTCCAGATAAGACTTGTCCTCATTCATTCTCATTAGCTAACACCGCCCCCTCCCCCCACTGTGTAGTACTTATCACTTTCTAACTTATTAAGTAATTTACTTATTTATTGTACTGTCTTGTATCCTTCCTTTATAGTCCAAGCCCAATGAGGACAGGCATTTTTATATGCTTTTAATCAATGGAATATATTCCCAGCACTTCAAATAATGCCTGGCACACAGTAAACCAAAATAAAAACAACAACAAACCCTCTGCTGTCAAGTCAGTTCTGACTTGTAGTGACCCCATCAGGTTTCCAAGGCTGTGAGTCTTTACGTAAGTAGATTACCTCATCTTCCTCCCATGGAACAGCTGCTGGGTTTGAACCACTGACCTTCTAGTTTGCAGATGATTGCCTTTCCCACTACACCACCAGAGCTCCTTGGCACATAGTAAGGGGTCAGTACATACTTGTTGAATAAATTCAATCACCTGTGTTAGCATTTGAAAGCTCACTTCATCTTTGTCAGGAAGTACTCACCTGCTAACAGGAGGTCGGTGGTTCGAACCCACCAGCTGGTCTGCAGGAGAATGATGTGGTAGCCTGCTTCTGTAAAGCTTTAAGCCATGAAAAGCTGATGGGGCAGTTCTACTCTTCTACTTGGTCCGGTAGGGTCACTATGAGTCAGAATTGACAGCAACAGATTTATTTTTTTAATTCTTTCTTTCATTGTCAGTTTATAAATTTAGGCTGTTTTAGAAAGCTTTGAGCAGAGGGTCATTTCATATTTGCTTACCTATTTGAATAGATCATATATAAATCTGAAAATTGAGGAAATCATATTTCTGCTCTAATGTATTCTGGAACTGCTAAGAGTAGTAGGGTAAGAGTAGTTTCAGATAGGACAGTATATTTTCCTACTTAAGAAAAATCTTGAAAAACTTCAGTAAGAGAGGGAAAAAAAAGAAGGTTGTTTATTAGGGATTTTATAGTGTGTAAAATTATAACCAAGTTTTTCCATAATTACTAATGTCATGAGAATGATGGTAACAATATTCTCCAGGAATAGCATATAGTTCTAGTAGTATATCTTGTGTTTTTCATATGTAGTCAGTATTCTGACTTGTCAAAAGAGCTGATTAAAAAAATTTAAAAAAAAAGGCAAAAGATCTGATCTTTGTATGTTCTTTGCATACAAAGGTCCTATAAACTAATAAACCATATAATGACTCCTTTTTTAATGTACACTGAAAGATTAAGTTGGAAAAGATAGCTGTGATCCTCAGAGTGTCTGTTTTTTGTTCCTTTTGACAGTCCACTTAGGGGACGACTCAGCTCTGCTGAAGAAACATCGTTTGGCAAATAATCTGATCAATTTCATTTGTATTCCTGGCAATGAAATGTTAAGAGCCTACCTCACTGTTACGTCACCTAAATAGTGCAGAGTCCTTGGCAGGAGATTAAATTTTGAACCAAAGATCCAATTTCATGAGAATGAAAAGTCTTACCTAAGTGCATTAAATAGATCTTTAGTATAGTAGTTAATACCAGTTAAATGCTTGGCTGTCTGAATCATGAAATATCCATTCAGACATGATTGTATTTTTCTTTTTTAAATAACTCAGGTTTTTTAGAAGCTGGGTCATCCCCATTTCTTTTGGCCGTTCAGTCTTGAAATATCCTGTGTTTTAGAAAGCAATGAAGGGAAATGCCATGCTGGGTCAGCAGTTTGTATGAAGAAGGGGTTTGGACATGTACTTTTCTGTTTGATCAACTATGAGGACAAGCACAGGGGATGTTCTCAGTAGAGTTATTTTAAATACAAAATTTTAAAAATTGACTAGCTTCAGTCTCATGGTGTCTTTTGAATAGCATGAAAAGAACACTGGTTAGTGAGGTGGTTAGAGACTGTTGTCAGAACCAGAGTGGAGACAACAGCTCCTTTAGAAATGAAGTTGGCTACAGTTGACCTCCCTCTGGTGGATGACATATGCTGATTTATATTAAAGACCCCATCTGCTTGTTGTTAGTTGCTGTTGAGTCGGCTCCAATTCATAACAACTTTGTGCATAACAAAATGCTGCCCAGCCCCGCGCCTTCTTCCTGATCATAGCACTTTATCCAACAATGAAATTTCTGTTGTAATCCATAAGGTTTTCATTGGCTAGTTTTCAGAGGTACATCATTAGGCCTTTCTTCCTAGTCTGTCTGAAATCTGAAAGCTCTGCTGAAATCTGTCCATTGTGGTGGCCCTGCTGGTACTGGAAATACCTGTGGCCTAGCTTCCAGCCTCAGCAACACACAAACCACCACAGTATGGCAGACAAACAGGTGGAGGAGACTTGATTTGCTCCCATGTACGTGGGTTTTTAATATGCCACAGTCCCACTGTGTTGATAGGTCCTTTGAGAGGCCAGGTTTACCCCGTGCATTTTCATGGGCAGCATCAGAGGTTCAAGAGTCATGATTTAGAAAAGCTGAGAATGGGGTCAGATGAATCTAAATACTGAGAGAGTATCTGCATGCTAGGCCTTGGGCTTTGTGCTTACACATGTTTATTCTTGGCAACTACATGAGCCAGCTCTTCTTTGATGAGAACACATACGTAGAACAGTTAGGTAGCTTGTGTAAGGTTACACAGTAGTGGGGTAACATAGCTTTGTCTCAAGGCTTCCAGCTCCTCCATGTTTGTTACCTTTGGTATCTCCTTGAAGAGGAGATGCCAAACAAAAGAGCAGGAATGAGTGGATTTGGGAAACAGGAAGGTTTAAATGCTTGCTGCTTGTTATTTATGGTTATCAATAAGGCTCTAATGCTCAGCACCCTAAAGGACTATCAATTATTCATTAAAAACCACACAAGCAGAAAGCACCAACTTCATGGTTGAATTCTCCTTTGACTTTGAAGTGGGATCTCTCCCACGTGCCTCACCAGATTGCCAAGAAACTTTTGAGTATATGCTTGCCCCTAGCTTCTCAGGCTAGTGATGGACATGAGCTGCATGGGCTATGCACCCATACGTACCAGAGTTAAGCATCATGGGTCATCTGGAAGTGAAGATGGACTGGGATTTCCTGGGTGGAATTTGTAGGTCTCCCTTCAGGCCACAGTGCATAGGAACATTTAGGCATGTTCTCATGTCTCTACGTTGGATATGCTCTGGGGAAAACTTCCCAGCTTGGACTTTGCTACACATGAAGTAGAGGTGAACTGTCAGTAGGTTTCTGTTACCAACACTTCTCTATCTCCTGAATCAGAAGCCAGGAGATGGAGCAAGGCCCTGCCATCTTAAGTACTTTTCCCACCATTGAGTGACAGTGAGTGGAGAATTACAAGCATTTCTAATTCTCAAAGACAACTGGGCAGTTTCTACCTAAACTTTTTAAGATGGCCTATAGAAGGCTGCAAGGAGCCCTGACGGTACAGTGGTTAAGCACTCAGCTGCTAACCGAAGTCCGTGGTTTGGATCCACCAGCTGCTCTGTGGGAGAAAGATGACAGTCTGCTCTGTAAAGATTTATAGCCTTGGAAACCCTATGGGGCAGTTCTGCTCTGTCCTATAGGGTCACTATGCATTGGAATCAACTTGAAGACAATGGGTTTATAGAAGGATGCCATTTTAATTGCAACACAGGGTTTTTTTTTTTTTTTTTTTTTGTTACAAATACTGTGAAAAATTATGAGTGTTGAAAAAGCACCAAATTTCTTTAGCTTTTGGATCTTGTTTGTTTGACCTTTGATAAACTAAGCACTTAGAAGAAGCTTTTTTGGAAGCAACTACTGCTTATCTTCCTGAGTGCTGAAATGCCTCAGAAAATTTCTAAAGATAATTTTGTGATTCATTTTTTTAAATTAGAGAAACATCTAAGACAGAGGATGACCGTTGTGTTTTATTGTCAAAATTTTGTGAGCAGATTTAAGGGCAGTTGTGGAGTGAAATTCATTATTTTAGAAGTAGATAAACACTGGATCATTAAAAATGAACAAGTAGACTTTGTTTTGGGCCCATTTCTTGAGGGAAAACTGAATAGCCCCGTGAGGGTTGAGTGGCGAATACAGAGGTACT